AACAATGAGCAAACGTGTGTGTTGAAGGACATAGAGATAGAGATCGTTGATCTTGGGGGGATGATTTTTAGAGATAAGGGAAGCCATACCGTGAGAATGTGGGAATCCGCAGAACAAAATGAAGAGATTGTGCAAGAACCAACAATTGCATAATGGTGTTTGATGTGGTTCTTAGAAAGCATTATCTAACTGATGTTGGTCACAATGTTGGTGTATGATGGTATTCTGCCTGCAAAAACTGAATCCAAAGCGAACAGTGGAAGAAGATGAGAATCGAGCTATATGTAAATACCCCCAAATTAATTACGTGTAATGTCGAATCTCAAAGAAGCAAAATCGTGAAGGGTAAATTGGTTTGCATATATTTATAGGCAAAAAGACATGAACATCATCACAGTGAAAGGAAAATTGAACAAACTACATGGGTGGGTGTCGTCCTTCTGTTTGGTCGATTCCTAGTCATCGTTGATCACAGCGATTACAATCAACCATTTATTTCTCATTGAATCTCTAAGGATGTTCATCCTATAAATAGCTTCACATGGGTACAGAGTTCCGATTCAATCAAATTACAATCAAATTAACGATTCAATCTACTATCATAGTTCCGAAATTATAATTCAAATGCAAAAAAAAAAAAAAAAAAAAAAACCCTTAGAAATTTGTGAAAACATGAATTAAAACATACCTTGGATAGATTTCCTTTGAACGGAAAAACGTTTTTAATTTATCTGTGGTCCATATTATCGTAGGCTTAAGCAATTGAAGCAAATGTTGAAACGACTTAAGCAATTAGAATGAAATCGAACTCTTATATAGAGAACTACTGGTAAGGGAAGTTACATAACTGTGGAAGAGAACCGTGCTTTGTGGAAGAAGAAAGAGGAACGTGGGTAGAAGGAACTTAAAATGATTGAACCTCCGTTTAACCGAAATTCTTGAGTTATTACGACTGAGATTGAAAGAAGAGGGAGTTTTAACAGCCGGAACGAAGGAGACGGTTTTTCCGCTCACCGATCGTCAATATAATTTGATACCTGGATTATTGGGATTGCTGTTCAAATTCAAACTAAAAAAATAAAAAAAAATAAAAAAAAAAAAAGATAATCTTAAATTGGACGAAGAAGACGAAATGCAGGAGGTTTATAATAGATAAGGGTAACTTCGGAAATTCACTTTGATAAAATGACACGTAGGATAAATTTCGGCGACTCTCCTTCTCGGTTGAAGACTCCAAGAACTGCAAATCGGTTTCCTTCAAAAACTACAAATCGATTTTATTCAACAACTCTTTCTCACGTTCCTCCTTCTTCAATCCAATCGATAACTGCAAAAGCCACAATCCGATTTTTCATGGATCGTACAACCACGTTCTCGCTCAATCAGCCCTATATAACACCGATTCCCAACTCTGACATTTACTGGATTTGTGATCCAATTTTGTATTTGGCAGAAATCGATTATGGAAAAATCGCATAATCTATACTACAATCTTCTTTCACATGGTTTACTAGCAGGTTAACTGTGTCTATTAAGAGAAATTCATTTTTTATCATTGAATTTCTTGGAGAGCAGGAGGCAATGATCCAACAGATCCCCGACACTGTTTTCATCTTAAATTCATTTTTATCACTAACCGGTTTGTTCTTCTTCTCTATATGGGTTGTGTTTGCTCTTTTCAATTTCCAGATGATGGATGATGATGTTTGACTCTATTTGTCCCAATGCACTTTCGATGGAGAGAAAGATTTTATTGTTTAAACTCTTAAGAGTAAATGAGTGGTGTTTACAATGTTCTTTATGGACAATTATAATCTCGATGGTCTAATTGGTCATGAAAATAAGATATTGTTTACACAGAAGCAAGTGTATTATGTTGTACATTGGCAATTAATGTTGAAATATCAAAATGGAAATGACATCTTGAGGTATATATTTTTGTTTACTTATATCATGTTGACATTTTTTAAATTCTTATTAATAGCAACAGATATAACACTGGTATCTGGAAATGCAGAAGTCTGTCATTGCAAGTGATTTGGTACAAAAGCTTCCAAGTTTTAATATACAAAAAGTGTTAATTTTTGGGACTAAATTCTTGAACTAATTTTATAGTAAAAATAAATTATAGTGGTGTTTGGTATGATGGAATTGGAGAAGGAATGGAATGGTTGATTTCAATGGAAGAAAAAAAGTTGTTTGTTTTGTCTAATGGAATGGAATATGCCATTCCTTGATGAATCTAATTTATGATATTTGATTGGTATTCCAATGTAAACATACTTCACATACATAACATCCAAGTAACATCCATATGGCCATATATAGCTTATGAGGTTAAGTCATGTTTAATAAAGTCAAATAGAAACATAACATTAGTCATATGCTATGCAAATTGCTATTTGTAGGAGGGGTAAATAGTTGAATAAAAAAGTTTAGCTCTATATTATCATGTTTCCTTTTTTTGCCAAAACCCTTCAAATTGGAATTTTTGAAGGTATAGTGAGATCAGGTAAGCTAATTTTCTCCTAATTTATGTTTTCTAAGTTTGTCAAATGTTATTGTGTAGGTTTATGTATTTCTTGAATTTTGGGGTTTATGGTTTTAATTGTTATTCTATGACTTTTGAAGTTAGAGTGTGATTGTAATATTGAGATGATAGATTGATGAAGATAGAACTAGAATCTTTATTATCATTAAAAGGTCCAAAATGTATATTAGTTAAAAGACATTGGTAACTAAAACAAAAATTTCTGTCTTTTCTTTCTTTTTTGTAATTTAATATATTTGTTTACTTTTCTCTAAAAGTAAATGTTGTCTTTTCTCTTTTCCATTTTTTTAGAAATGTAAAAATATATATATATAAAAAAAAAAAAAAAAAAAAAAAAAAAAAAAAACACGAAGGCCACCAGGGAGCTGGACCAATTAAACAAGAGTATAAAACAAACACATGAAACATAGAATGAAAGAGCTAATAATAACAAACCACCAGTACTACTATGAGCTAAACAAAAAAACCTCCAAGGGCAAAACGGTAAATACATGGAGTCACGGATCAAAGACCAGCTTGATCCTCAACCTAAAATAAGTTTCGGCAAGCATAAACAGCTTTACACAGATATGGCTTCTTAAAAAACTTTGCCAAATACTACAAACAACAAAATTTTGAAGATACAATGCATATAGATTGTCTTTTAATCTATTGCTATTCTTTTATTCATTCATATGTAATATAATTGGGTAGATTTGTCATGTATATTGCTAATATAGGAATAAATGAAAGAAATATGCTATAAAAATAAGATAAATCAATATATTGATTATACATTTGTGAATCTGTCCACCAGACACGTATGACAATAATTAATTTAGGGTCGATAAATGTTAATGTAAAAGCCAAGAAGGTGTGGTTACGTGATGATTAAGTATGAGTTTGTTAACCGTCTTAGAAACATCTTGACTATATTATATGCAAAAGTATCGGATTTTAATAAACTATGATTAAAAGAGCATTTAAACAATAGCTAAACAAGTAAGACTAAGGCATAAACATGTATTAGTGGATAATTTACGTTTGTAGATTGTAATTGGTTTAGAGGTTCAAAAAGTATGGATTCACCCCCCTTTATTAAGATTGCATTACGCATAAAAGTAGGGATCAGCATCGGAACCGGGTACTCACTTTTGAAACCGGACCCGCCCCGGAACTGTCGGTTTTGGAACTGGAACCGCCTTAAGAGGTTTCGGTTCCGGTTCTCGTTTTTTCGGAACCGCTACCCGCTGGAACCGGTTATATATATATATATATATATATATATATATATATATATATATATATATATATATATATATATATATATATATATATATATATATATATATATATATACACACACACACACACACTAGCCGTTTACCCGCGCAAAGCGGCGGGCGACAAATAGTTTGTTTCGATAATTAATTTCTTTTCGATGGAGAATGATTATTTTCAATTCAATCATTAGTTTATTTTAAGAAACATGTCATATTAAAAATAAAGAACATTCATGAAATGATCAAATTATAAGGTGTTGAGTATTTATTTGAATGAAAAAAGATCTTGTCAAAACCTTGAAAAAGAAGATTTATAGGAGTTTGTTTAAATTTTAATATTATTTTATTAGTGATTAGTTGTACAATTAGCTTAATAATTTAGACGTTTTAAAAAAATATTATTATTTTATTCAATCTATTTTTAGAAATAGTAGGATTTGTTTTATAAGATAGTGTATATATATATATATATATATATATATATATATATATATATATATATATATGTGTGTGTGTGTGTGTGTGTGTGTTACTTAGACCGATTTAGAATATATTGGTCCGATTTTGTCCGTCTTTGGTCCAAATTGATTTGATTTGGATCGAATTAAATTGCGCTTTTGTCGAAAAAAGTTAACAAAATTAATGCGATCGGGTTACCCGCTCCCAGAACTAGAACCGCCGGTTTCGGGACTGGTTCCAAACATTTAAGAACTGCCTAGAGCGGTTCCGGTTCCGCTTCTATCTTTTTAGGAACCGCCGGTTCTGGTTCTCGCCAAATGAGACGGGTACCCGCCTATGCTCATCCCTACATAAAAGTACAAAAACATGGTGAAAACATGAGATCATGTTTGATTTTGGAAAATCGTAAAAGAAATGAAATGAATACATAAATTGATGGAATTGATCATTGCATTATATTATTATTTTGGTTGACTTGCATAAGTAGAAAAGTTACCAAAACATGTTTTTTGTTATATATAAAAATAAAATTTAATAAAAACAAACTGATAAATATAGAAACAAAGGTTGTTTTATAAAGATAAACTTTAACAAAATAAAAATATATCATTAAACAAGTTAGATATAATCATATTTATTTCGTTAAAACATATGTTAAATGTACTTTAAATATTTAGCAAAAACTATACATCAACCAAAACACCAGTTTACAAAATAAAAAGGAAATCTTAATATAAAATCATCATAATACATATTTTATTTATTTTGGAAAAAATTTGAATTAAAGTTTTGATTTTTTTTTTTTTATAAAGATTGGTATTATTAAAGATTGTAGGAATAAAAGTAATTTATAATTATAAAATTACATTGTATCATACGAACAAACATAAGACTATTTTTTTTAAGATAATCGATTATGGGTCCACCTCCGCGTTCTAAAACCTGTAACTATGTAATTGCAATTAACTGTTTTTAATAATTTTACAATTGTTGCATATAATATACAATTTGTATATAAATAATAATTAATTATTTTCATCTAACTGTAAAGGCTTGAAGTAGATTCCATCTATGAGATAAGTACCAATGGCCAAACGAACTGCCCATACATCCTTAGGCTTCCTTGCCATAATTCTGCAACAAATACAAATATACGTTTTAACATTACTTCATCCAAATACAATAACTATTTTTCAAAGTATCACATCAAAATATGAAAAATAAATAAATAAAAAATATCTGTAAAGACATCATTGATTTTGTTAGTGCGTATTAAACTATTAATGATTGCTTTCACCCTCTTAACTGATTCAAAATTTATTAAGCATATTTGATATTTATCCAAATAACTAAGTATCCATAATAGAGCTTTTTCAAACTTAAGCTTTTTTAAACAACTTGTTAAGTAGAAAATTTACCTTCCAACATCACCCGCTTTAACTAAACCTGAATTAACTCTGAGACAAGGCATAGAAGCTGCTGTCTTCAACATTTTAGGAGCTTCCACTATGATGATTGGTGACCCAATCTTTAGTGATTCAGATGCTTTTGGTGTGAGCTCTGTTTCAGCTTCAGCTGATGGATCTTTTGATGAACAATTGATTCTATGAACAAAACTCGGATTATTTTGGATGCTTCTGCACTATTCAAGAAACCATAGTCATCATTCACTTCTACAATGTTGAAATCAACACTCGAAATTTAGTTACTCACTAAGATAAACAAAATTAACTCCAAGGGGTCTAGATTTCAAATTAGAATGAGAATTCCCTCGTTCGTAATCGCTATAATCAATCATTGTTATCTGGGAGATACGTGGATTCATACCAATCGCCCTTTGGCGTCAGTTTTTTGTTCCTTTCAATTAATTATTTCAATTGATAAAAAGACAAAGGTTATATTGAAACGATAGTGAAGTACTTTAGCTCAAGCCCAAAATCTTCATCTGGTCATGTAGAATGATGCTAACAAAATCAAAAAATTAGGAACGAATTTAAGAATGAGCACCTTTTTTTTCTCAGAAAATCCAATTGAGGAAATGCTGCTCAAGGAAAGGCGATTTGAGGATGAAGAGAGTGGAATCGTTATTGAAATGTGCAGGGATGAAGCAGACGCCATGGGAACGAGTTGGGGAAGGTTGTCCGATTAGAGGGCTGGAGATGAGGGTGAGGAACTTGAGCGGTTATGTAAAGTTTGGTGTTAGTTTTGGTTTTAGGGCCTTGAGGTTTTGCGAAATTACATATTGAACACTAAAGTTGCCAAAGTTTGACTTTTTATACGACATAACTTAACGATAGATAAATATGAGTGTATTTCGGAGTCATATCAAAACATTGACTTCGCCTAGAGCGTATTTTAGATATATTTTTTTTATAGGATATTGTCATAAAATCTGTTTAGTTTGGTAGAAATTAACGGTTTTAGCTAATGTGGAATTTTATGTCCATTAATATATAGCATTTGCTATGTTTTGTTACTTATGGCTAGGGGTGTTAATCAAATCCATCCGATCGAGTTTCAGGTTAAAAGGTCGGGTTTTTCAAAAATAAATTTGACCTTAAACCCGGTCCTATTAAAGTACGGGTTAGTCGTGTTCGGGTTTGTTGGGTTAGACGGGTTATAATGTTGTGTAAAGACTTAAAATGTAAGATAGTTTAGTTTATGCCATTTTAGTCCATTTTATACATGTTAAGGCCTATAGGGGTTGATACTATTTGTGATTTGTGATGTATGATGATACTTTAAAAATGTATTATGGAAAGAAAATTTTGTTTCCCTTTGTGAAACATGTGTGTAGAAGTTAAATTAATCTCATATTATTCAATGAAAATTTTTCACAAATATATATTCCATATTTATCTAATTATCCAATGCTTTATAAAATAAATTATATAAGTAATTTAAATATTATATTTTTGTCATTATATAAAAACTAAAAATATAAACAATTAACTTAGTTGAGGACGTATTAATTAAGACTCATGATCCACGATAAATACCAGTCGTAGACCACAAGTGTAAAAAAAAAAAAAAAAAAAAAAAAAAAAAAAAAACTTGAGGATTATATATGCATGAAATACCTTGCAGTAAACACATATCATACAGATCAACAAATAACTTGCTTGATTAGTTGAGTTCATGAGTTCACGGGGTATAACTTGCAAGACTATTAGTACAACATAACTACAAGATGAAAATGTTTTAAAGTTGATGGGCTAAACCAGGTTAATCGAGTTGACACAAACTCGAATAAACAAAATACATCCTACCCGAAACCCGTCACTATTAAGGTAAAGGTATGGGTTAATCGGGTTAACCCAATTTTAGCCTTCAGACCCTGATAAACCCGACCCTATTAGTCTCATTTGGGTTTGGGTCGGATCGGGTTAGTCGCGTTCAAGTTTTTTTGACACCCATACTTATGGCATTTATAAGGTTTTTCACCTTAACAATTGGTCACCCGTTGAATGTATGTTGCCTATGTAGACTCTTTTAGCTAAGTAGGCATAACAAACGTTGTTAACCAAAAACCCTTGTTCTGTTTTGAGACATTACACATTGAGAAGCATACTTATAACCTTTTCCACGAGAACATATTTTCCTTGCTACAATCATCGGTAATGCAAAATCATCATCACCAAAAAAGTGTATTTGAAACATTGTAGGGTTTCAATTCTCCAAAATTTTATCCGGTCAGTTAGTATCTTGGGTAATCAAAGTTGTCTTCTTTATAGGGTAAGTTTCTTAGAGTTCATCGTCACAAAAATTTCTTACAATCACTACGTGAAATGTTTATGATTATGTAAGAGTTTTTTATGACTTCATCAAACAACACATAAAATGTAACGCATGTGTTTCCAGGTGTAACATCCCGGAATAGCAAGAGTAGAGTTGAAGGGCTAAAACTGTAAATCTTGAAGGGCAACTCGGCGAGTCCATGGATGGACTCGGCGAGTAGGGTCGCGACTTTGGTCGCGTGTCAAGTAGCCTACTCGGCGAGTAGGTGCTGAGTGGAGAAAACCCTAAATCTGGGGAATGAGCCCTATTTAAAGAACATTATACCCTCTTCCCAGCCTCTTTGATCCCCCTTGAAGTCCAAAAACCCTAGAAAGCGTGAGTGTGGAAGATTGGAGTGCATTTGGAGCTTAGGGAGGTGTTTGTTGAAGAAATCTTGAAGGAGAAGAGGCTTAGATCAAAGGGCTTTGTTTAGATTCGGATCTCTTGCTGTTGGAGGCTTCATTTTGAGGTAATATCTCATTCTTGGGTTGTGTTCTTCTAGATTCTTCATTTTGGGGTTGTGTGGGAAGCTTAGATTTGTGGCATCTTGAGTTTGAAGGATAGATCTAAGGTTGCTACCTCAGATCTGGAGTGGAGAAGGTCTTAAGAGCATTAAAGTCCCTGTTCTTGTGTTGTTGATGGAGCTATCTTGTCCCAAACCCCAAACCCTAGAGTAAAAATGCCTAGATCTTCTTGGATTCACGTAAAGATTGCCACTTTACGTGATGGATGGCCTTAGGAGAAATAGATCTATGGTTTGGATCATCTACATGGCTTGGAAAGCTTCTGTATGGATTCAGACCCGGTGGTACTCGGCGAGTCACATGGGTGGACTCGACGAGTTGCTTGAAGATGAGCTGGAACTCGACGAGTTGGATGAACAACTTGGCGAGTAGGTTGAAGATAACCTTAGACTCGGTGAGTCTGTTCTTGGACTCGGCGAGTCTTGTCGAAGAGTCCCAATATTTTCTGGTTGAGTCGAGAATCGGTGAGTCAAGGGATGACTCGGTGAGTTGGGTGCGAGAGGACTCAGAGTTGCTGGACTCGGCGAGTCTCGGGGTGACTCGGCGAGTTAAGTCGCGGATTGAGGGAAGTTCTGAGCTTGGGGACTCGGAAAGTCATCGGGTTGACTCGGCGAGTAGAGTCAGTCAGGGGTTGACTTTGACTTTGTCCAAAGGTTGACCAGTTGTCTTCCAGGGGTATTTTTGTAATTAAGGGTATTTATTGAGTTGAGTGTTTTGGTGTTCAGTGGAGGAGTTCGTGTCGGAGTTTGGAGCAGCGGGATCTTATCCTTTCAGTCGGCAGTTTCGAGGTGAGTTATCCTCACTATATCAACAGGGTCTAAGGCACCAAGGCCGACCCTTTATCGGATTGAGATTCGGGTATCTGTTGTTATGTATTTGCTTTGATATGTTTGCATCCTGGTAGTTAGAATGGTATTCGTTAGAGACCTGGTTAAGGTCGGTATCCTGGTAGATTGGATGATGCTATGCTAGTGACCGGTTAGGTCGATATCCTGTTAGAGTATGTTGTGTTATGTGATCTGCTAGATCGGTTTTCCTGAATATGAATTTTTATGTGATTGTATGTTTATGTGCACATGGTTGTTTGGACTGGAGTTGGGTTGAGGCGGGTCCTGCTTCATGCTGTAGGCCAAGATACCCAGGGCGGCCCGGTTATGCCGAAGGCCCAGCGAGCGGGCCGGATAGACTGTAGGCCCCACGAGGGCGGACCAAACGTGCCGAGGCTTGGAGAGTGGACCAGGACGACTGAAGACCCGATGCGGGCGGACCGGTCATACTGTAGACTCAGAGAGTAGACCACATGAGTTGAAGGCCCAGTGCGGGCGGACCAACCACACTGCAGACTCGAGGGACATGATTGGACTCAGAGAGTGGACCAGGTGAGTTGAAGGCCCAGTGCGGGCGGACCAACCACATTGCAGACTCGAGGGACATGATTGGACACGGAGGGTGGACCAGGTGGACTGAAGGCCCGACAAGGCGGACCAGTCCCACAGTAGACCCGATATGCATGGTTGTTCTGTGATTCGTTATGAGATAGCATGATATGTGTATGGTATATGTTGTTGGTATTTTGGGGGTATCTCACTAAGCTTTCAGGCTTACAGTTGTGGTTTAATGTTTTTCAGGTTCTTCAGGAGACCGTGGCAAGGCAAAGGCGTGATCGTACCGCTCCTCATGATTTTGTAGTAATGTGATTCTGGGAATACTCTAAATGATTTTGTATTGAAAACCTTTTTGTAATAATTTAATGGAATCAGGTTGTTTTTGAAAAATTTAAATTGGTTGGATTTTTCGGTCGTTACAAGTTGGTATCAGAGCCTTGGTTTAAGTGAATTGGAGGAACACTTGTGTGACTCCAGTCTCAAATCGAGGAGGGTTTTCAAAAGAGAATTTAAAATGGTTTTCAAAATAAGTAAAGGAGGACGCGGAGGTACGATCAGCCGGAGCCAGTAAGTAACCCCAAAATACCATACATGATATTTGTTTTATTGAGCTTTGATAGAATAGCATGCTAGAGTTAGGCTAGGGATCTTCAGGATTTCTTGATGTGTTACCTGATTTATGATGCCTGCTAGCCTAGGGTTTTCTTGTGAGAGATTTCTAGTGTTCCTCTAGTTGTGAGGATAGAGCGTTGTTATGTATGTTTTCGCTAGGGTGTTGTGGAAGTACTTCATACAAATATGGGTAGGTGTGGAAGGTAGTATGGGCCCGTACTACTGAAAGCACAGGACCCATACGCGTATCAGAGAAACCATGACCTCTAGGGTTGGGTTGAGAGTTGGTTCCCGGGATAGTGGGAAGTGTCTGAGGTTTTGTGGTTTATTTCAGTATGGAGATTTCAAGGCATGCTGGGAGTGGATCCGGGTCAGGATCGGGTGCAGGAGAGGGAGTTGCGGACGGGTCAGTTCTGCCCAAGGTTATCACTCAGATGAGTACGCGCGAGTTGGATGCGAGGATTCATGAGATCCTACACGATGAGGTTGCTGCATTGTTCCAGGCCGAGCTGCCGAAATTGTTTGGGTCGATCAAGACCGCCATGGTGGAGTATTTTGATGAGCGCTATGCGGCTCTCATAGAGACGGCTTCCACGATAGCTACAACGGCTTTAGCAGCGGCAGGGGGAGGAGCTAGTAGAGGTTTTCAGTATCAGGACTTCGATAATACGAAGCCTCCCACCTTTGATGGAGTTCAGGATCCGATCGTTGCTACGAGATGGTTATCAGACATGGAGGGGTGTTTCTTCACGTGTTCATGCCCTGCTGATCAGAGGGTGAGGTTCGCTCTGAACCTGTTGAGGCTCGGGGCAAAGGATTGGTGGAGATTGACCACGGGGTCATACTCATATGCGCAGAGGGTTGCGATTTCATGGGATCAAT